ACACAATTCTTTACACTATAAACTCATGAAGTGAACTGCCCGTTTTCAAATATTACAGATATTTTTATAGTCTACATAGTGCGCAATACGATCAGATGAGCCAATTGTAGTGCGCATGACGATCACATGAGTCTGTTTCATGGGAAACGAAAACAAAATTTATTTATATAGAAGTACAAATAAATTGTTTTTGATGCACTGCGATACAGTTGACTTTGCTTTATATACATGGCACTATAAATGCTCAGAAATAAATGTACAACTTATAATTATATATAATTATATATAAAATATGTTCACATATTATTATACATAAAGATATCAAATTATATATAAATTGTCATATATAATTACACATATTTATATATAAAATGATATAATTTATATATAATATATATATAACCATATATAATTATGTCTAATTAAATATCATTTTATTTAATTATATTTAAACAATTTGTTCCCGAATAAAAAAGGGAACTTGGGGTATAATGAGACCACAGTGCATAATGGAGTATGGTCGATAACTTTTTACAGAGATGTTGTCATGCAATAAAACATTTTGTCATTATTACTGTTAAATGTCTCTTATCACATACCATTATTAATTGTCATATTATTTTTAGTTGAAAGATACTACAAATTGTTTAATGCGTTTGCTACGTTCTCCGCATCTCTACTACAATTTGCTAGGTATATTTACACAAGTTAAAATTGCTAGGTATATTTACACAAATTATGACAAAATTCCTTTTTCGTTTTCGTATGAACATTAACGTTATTAAACCATCTTTCCTCGTCATTTTAATTAAATTCCTGTAAAAAAATCGATTATCTCTAACGTTTTGTATTACATAATCCAAACTTACACATGTCTGGGCATAATGAGATTATACCATTATGTTCTTAAAACATTAAATTATATTATTTCTGAGCGTATGCTTGTTTTATTTTATATAATGAATTATATATATTTTATGTAATGAATACGAAATATAAAAACTGGACGCTAGCCAGCTGAAAGCTGAAAGTTGGGCACCAGCTAGCTGAAAGCTGAAAGTTGGACGCCAGCCAGCTGAAAGCTAGAAGCTTAGCGTTTCAAATTTTACGGGATAATTTTTTTGTTAGCAATTTATTTCTGTCAAATTAATGACCGAATACGTTTTCATACGTATTGATTTAATAATTTTTATTAATATTATATAAAACATTTTTTAGTTTAGTTATACGCGCTTTTCGATTGTCGTTTAAATTTTACAGGCCTCTAATTGTATATATAATTGTCAATCTTAAATTTTATAATATATTATAATATATTATTAAATAATATTATGCGCTAAATAGGTAAAATCATATTTGATAACATTTAAGCGATAATATAAAATTCATTCACACACATACATAATAATGTCAATTACTTACAATAAACATGTTAGTATATCTAGTTTATATTTTTTTAATTTTGTGTTATATTATTAAGATATTCAATGCACTTCATACACAACGCGCTTGCTCTTTTCTATTCACTTTGACTTTTCTGTAAAATTGCAGTATAAACATAAATTTCACAAATATGTGATTCAGGAAACAAACGAGAATAAAAAGACAATTGAGGTAGTACGCTGTTAGTCGTGCGTCAATTATTTACTTTTAATAATCATAGTTAAAATCTACAAATATCCATACGTATGTTCCAGTCGTAATTTTTCGAACTTTTTCAATAGTAAAATATAAAAATTATAATTCGTGACATTTGTGTGATAATCCATTCGGAAATCGCGGAGATAACGTATTTTATAATTGTATCATGCATATATATAAGTTTGTGTTATTCGGAACTTGTCTGTGTAGAGTTCTTATTTGTAGCAATGAAGGATTTATAAAATATATTTATTAAATTTATAAAATATTCCGTCAGCGAATCCGGTCAACGAAAGTTGAGTGTTTTCATGACTAGATAAACGTTACTCACCAACAGTAAACGCCGAAGCCCCGCTATTTGCAAGTATTATGTGTGAAAAATCAAATCCTTACAGTGCCCAATGGCCTCGATAACAAACGTGATTCAGCTGTAGGTTAAACAAAAATAAGGAGCAACGCAGATTCGCCAAGAAAAACAACTTCAACAAAGTAATCGTCCACCAACCGAGTCAAACACAGACAATCACAATAAAATTGAGCACGTGGTTTAATAATAAACAATAACCATTATTTGTGTGCGATAAGAGATATAAACATTGACTATTATTGGCGTGCGTTCATGTTCAAAAATCAAGGGCGAGTGACGAATACCAGACGGCAGAAGGACTTAAAATATATCTCGAAAACTCTGTTTGTAAACAGGATGGTACATTATAATCTATCGAGTATTTTGATGATGGATAGATAATTCAGAAAATATATATTTGAAATTTCTGTACAAATAGCGCACCCCACACGCATTTGCTACGTTGTTATATATACGATTTATCTGTGCTCACATGTTTATTTTGTGTAAAGGACTGGTCTCACAATGCTCGATTGTGTTAATAATTTTCTATATGCTAACTTTTATGAAGTTGCATATGGAACATTACATGACAACGTTCATGATTTTGAATTGTTAGTGTTATTGTTTTTGTCGAAATCATGAAGGTTGCCATGTAGAGCTCCGTGTACAACTTCATAAGTTAGCATATAGAAAATCATTAACACAATCGAACATTGTGAGACTAAGCCTTAATATGTTGTATATCATATCATTACGATTAATTATAGCATAAGAAAATATGCACAAGCAGTCGTGAAGCATAGTGCAATTATAGAGAAATATCACAGCGTACCTACCTACAGTATCTATCTACTCGGGCAGGGCGGCACATATACCATGAAGATTTCTCATTGCGTTTTGTCCAAAATATTAAATACCATCTTCTAATATTATATATGGATAAATTTGGTATTTAATGCTCTATAATTTTTGTCCTTACAAAAACTTAAAAATTTTGCCAGAGTAACGAGAGGGGGGAGGGGGAGAGTAGTTCAACATTTGAAATTAAAAAAAATTGAACACATGGTTGCAAAAAGCATAAAATATTGCAAAACTTTTGTCTGAAACTTTTTTTCATATGACTCATAATTTAGAAAATATTTACTAAAAATAATAACGACTATTTTTTTCAAGAGGTGGTTTCACCCCCTAAACATGCTCCGAAGCCGATATAAAAAAATACGTGTCCCTTAGTTTTTGATGCTCTACAACATATCCGAAGCCCATTTAAATCGGTGAGGGAGTTGTGTCACTCTCCTTGTTAGTTGGACTCACACTGCATTTGTGCAGGCGTGAGACTTTTCCTCCTTTTTACGCTTCCTATATCCCTTCACAAGAATAATGCGTTTAAACATGATGCAATTTTAAATAGGTAAATTTGCAAAAACAGATTTTGTATAGTGGCTTTGTCAGCAGCTTGCTATCAGAAATATAACAGAATTTGATCGCAGAATATGACAAACTGACGACAGAAACTGAGCAAGATCTGTCATTCCCTAATATATGTAACAAGTTAAAAGCTACGCTGATTTTGATCGACTTGGCGGCGCGTGTGCAAGTATAACCAAGAAATGACGAGATGCAGGGCGGGAGAGTATTGGCTTGCTGAGTCGATTGACAAATCGTCAGTTAGACAAAAGCCACAGTAAAGTTATGTTTTATAAAGCATATCTAATCTATCGACTATTTCAAAAAGTATTTTAAAAAATATTATTTTCTAAATTTGATACTGTTGATCCTCAAGGACCAATGTCGTCTACTAAACGAAAAGTCATCCAGCGCCGGTCCGCAAGGACCAGCGTAGTACTTAACGTGTTAAATGGAACATACTGTAGATCCTGCGCGTTTTCTGCCGCCAATCTGCTGTTAAATTTTGTCAGCAGACTCTATCGACAAAATATAAGTCGAATGCGGACACATCTCTATGGTTCTGTCGACAAATTCTTGTTGAATCTGTCACCAATCTATCGATAGATTGCTAATAAATTGCTTACTAAGATTAGACACGTTGCAAATAGATTGCGTTAATATTGGATATGGCTGCAAATTAGATAATTGTAATTGGACATAGTGAATTTTATACACGCAAGAAAAATTATTTGGATAGTTGAAAATGTATACCATTCATTTAAACACGCACCTTAGACGCATTTAATCGTGCACCGTTTATTTAAATTGATTATACTAAAATATTAAAGCAACTAAATATTTTGGTTGGAACTTTTGTGTAAAATCTTCAATCTCCCGAGCCTTTATATAAAATCTTAACGTTTTTTGTTATAACTATGTACAGATGTCAAACTCTCTAATAATATAACTGTCTGGTAAGCTCCCTTTTACTTTTTCTCTCCCTTTTGTTTTTAAAATGTTCATTATTAATTTATTTTCTTTTTAAAATAATAGTTATTCTAATTCTGAAATTGTATGTTTTATTTTTCTAGATCACACTTTTACTATATATCGACACATGTTATAAACGTTGATAAATATCTTTTCTTTTGTTTCTTTTCATAATTTATAAAATATCAGTAAATAGCAAATATAAATATCGAAACATTTAGTCACACGTACACAACCAATGTTAATATTTTAGTACATTTTGTAGATCGACGTTATTTCTTGCTCCTAACATGTTATATTTGATTGTATATCTTGAGACTCTGTATTTGTTCTATATTTTATATTATCAGCTACTAGAATTTGCAATGAAAAGTAGTTTTTATCTTAAATTTTCAAATTATCTTTTACAAGGCTATCCATGATTATTCCTAAATTGAATAAATATCATCAATTAATAAATTTTTTAACTTTACCATTTTGTAAAATTTTTCCAATAAAAATAAAAATAAAACAATAATTTTTTAGATAATTAATTGCTCCAGGAATTTTTGAGTGCATTATATGTATATATTTCTACAATCAATTACGAAAAACCATTGGTTTTTTAAAAAATTATATATTTGCAGGCGATAAAATAATATTTGTTAATAAATATATTGCAGGTAATACAAGTTAAGTTTTAAATTGATAATACGTCCTTTATTATTTTTTGATAGACGTCTTATCAAGAATAACGTTTGTCGTCGCACAAATTCAAATAAAAAATGGATTTACAATTTCTTAATAATATCCATATGTATTATATTACATTCTGGCACTTGTGTGAGACTAATGATGTGAGATGACGAAATGTTTTGAGAATATTCGTGTATTTTCAAAATTCCATTGTCCACGGAGAATATTTTTACGTTAGTCTTGGAATAATCTTTAAATTTTGTTAAAAGAAATCATCTCAGACATTGTAAAAAAGATATTTATTATAAATACAGATATGTTAAAGATATATAGTAACAATATATCATCTTTCTTTTCATTTTTACTAAATACTTGTATTCGTGCGGGCAAATTTTTCAATACTCAAAGTATATTATTACGACATTCTTATTATTAATATTTTCAGGATACTTTATAGTATTTTTATTTCCAGAGATTTCGTCAAAATATTCTCATGTTTTTGAAAATTTTCTCTATAAGATCTTCTCACATCACTATTTGAGAGCTTGGACTTAAGCGACCGGGTAAATTAACCGAATAAATCAGCTGGAGAATCCAGGATTAGTATGTTCTATAATACAACGTCGGCAATAGCGCTTGACTGCGCGGTAACCGACCCATGTGACCCTGGGACACTCGCCGATATTAAGTTGGCGCAGACCGCGCACATAGTAAGCCAATGCTTCAAGACCGGTGTCAGTTACTCTCTCGCACCCGCATAAGGACAACTTTTTCAGGTTTGGACATCCAGTGGAAAGTGCCTCGAGGGTCGCGTCGCCGATGTCACATTTGCCAATATCTAGAGCTCGCATGCGTGGGCAGCTGCGCGCCAGAGCGACAGTCGCACTGTCGCTGAGTGCTTCGCAACCACGAGCATTTAAATAACGCAGCTTATAACAGTGACGAGCAACGATCAGTAGACCAGCGTCGGATACGCGGTCACATTTACCTACGGAAAAATAGCGTAGTGACGGGCCGAGACGTGCCGCCAATTCGCGTACCCCATAATCCGTCACTTTCACACAGTCTGACACCGACAGCTGGCGCAAATTGGCACAATAGGAAGCAATTGCGACTAGGCTGGCATCGGTAATACGAACGCATCTACGCAAATAGAGACATCCTAAGTGTGGCATGCGCGATAGACTAAGCACCAGACCCGAATCCTCGATGCCATGACAGTCACTGAGGTCCAACGATTGCAATTGTAGGCTACTGGTAGCACGGCCGCAGGCGTGAGTCACATTTGGACAGCCTGTGAGATCGAGCTCCCTGAGGTGGGTGCAGCTGTCCAACACAGTAGTGACGTTAGCATCATTGACACGACGCGAATGGCGCAGAATGAGAGAAGTGAGATTGAGAAATGGCAGTTGGACAAAAATTCCAGGCAATCCAACGGCGCCTTCTAATATCAGACGACGAATGCAGGTATGACAACCACGACGAGTCAATGCATTCAAAGCAGTGGTAGCATTTTGCGGATAACGCACTTCAACTTCGCGCCAGAGCGCCGGATGCCACGCGATCTCCCAAAGGCGTCGACAGGTTTGTGCCAGAGTGCAACGGTCACGGGTACCGAGCCAACTGAAGATCTTTAGAAGCAGATTGTCATCAAGTTGACAGAGATCTGGTTTTGTGTGAATAACTAAGTGATGTTTGCCAGGTGGTTGCGGTTGCTGTTGCTTCTGTTGCTGTTGCTGCTGTTGTTGACGCACAGACACACTAATTGCTCCTGGGGTCGACGAAGATGATGATAATGAAGTCGTGCGACAAGCATTGTTATCAAGAGTATGGTAGCCCAAATCGATGGCATCCACTGTTGGTCGATACACACCAACTTTTTGTGATGAGTAATCATCTCCTTGTTTAGGACAACTTTGTTCCCCGAAATTAGGGAAAAGGAGTGGGCAGGATCCGTCCATTCCATGCTCTGTTCTGCACACACAAATTCATATACATCATTGTACAGTTATGCTTAACATTATGTAAATGCACATAAAATTATCTCCAAAATTAAAATATTGAATACTAATCGAATTCCTTTTTTTATATTACATTATTTTTGAAAAATTTTTAAAAAAGTTCTTCACATAACACCTGCCTTGAAAATATTTTAACTATTCATTGATAATGATTTATACAGGATATCCCATTTTAAAGTTTTCACCAAAATATCTCCTTAGGAAAGCATTTAAGAAAAAAATGTTTCAGACAAGTTACTTGGTTTGAAGGGGAACATAAGATAGCGATATCATTTTGTTTACAAATGGCGCCACTTTCGAGATATTCACTGATCATCAATTTTCTTAAATGATAATTCCAATTTTTTATCATATCATCTTTTTCTACCAGTTAATTTTAACAACCTTTGTCTGAAACATTTTTTTATTTGCCTAATAGTTTTTGAAATATTTAAGGAAAACTTAGTAACTTTCAACATTCAACTTACGATATCTCGCTATATTCGAAAGAAAAAGTGGTACTAGAAACTTTTACTCTATTTGATGTCAAGAATATATTGTTACAATAACATCCTGATTTTTGTTAATTTGACAATTTTTAAATTTTCTAAGGTCGATAAATTAACAACAGGGCACTATGATAGCAATATATTCTTGAGACTAAATAAAGTAAAAAAGTCTAATACTTTTTTTCTTTCAATAAATAGCGAGATATTGTAAGTTAAATATTACCAAAAGGTTACCAAGTTTTCCTTAAATATCTCAAAGAATATTAGGCAAATAAAAAAATGTTTCAGAGTTTAAAAGTTATTCAAATTAATTAGTAGAAAAAGATGATATAATAAAAAATTAGAATTTCCATTCAAGAAAATTGGTGATCAATGAATATCTCGAAAATGGTGGCATCTAACAAAATATCGCTGTCTTATATCCCCCTTCAAACTAAGCAACTTTTGTCTGAAACATTTTTTTCTTAAATGCTTTCCTAAAAATATATTTTAGTGGAAACTTTAAAATGGGACATCCTGTATATTGGCGGAAAAAAGACATGTCAAAAAAATAACTCATATACAAACATGAATGATCATGAATAACTTTGCCAATTTTCAACATATTTGCATCCAACTTGATATATCCATGTTATTTGGGTCACTGATTATAAATCCGAAATCAAATTTGAGAAATTCATAATAGCGGGATCCAATGTGGCAGCTCTGAGAGACTAATTTTCTTATTCTATTGTGGAGAAAATCATATTCGATATATTCATACTTTTCGAGTCGCTGATGATGAATCCAGAGTCGAAATTACAAAATTCAGAATGACGGATCTAATATAACGGTTCCAAGTGACTATGACTTTAATTCAAATTCAAACTCGATGTCTTTTTAGTCGTAGATAACGGATTAGTTCAAGATATTCAAGTTTTGTTATTTCATTTGGAGTACGCATTTAAAATGAGTATATCTTTTGAATCGTTCATTATGGATCCAGGGTCAAATTTTCTCTAAAACCAGTTTTTAATATTTTTGTATTATTTGATACATAATTTATAATATAATTTTTGAAAAACTAAAGTTAAACCCTTCATAAAACGTGAGATTGAAAATTTCTCAACAAGTGAAAAGACAGACTTGTTCTTCATTATCATGATAGTATCAACTTTCCAATGATAGTCATAAATCTAAGGTTTCCGTCAGAGCCATTCGACAAAAAAGTAGTTTTCTTCAACATATTTCACTTGTTAATAATAGAGATAAGAGTATTTATAATAGAATACCGTTAGTCACTAGAAGTTGTTTTATTGGATTCGCCACTTTAGATTTTGCAATTTCAACTGGATTCATGATTAGCGATTCGAAAAACAAACATAAATATCGAATATTATCTCCATAATAAAATAATAAAATTAGTCACTAGAAGCCGCCATATTGGATGTACCATTTTGACTTTTGTAATTTTGTTGACTGTGGATTCATCATCAGCAACTTAAAATCCCTTTTAGGTAAGCTTTCATGTAAAATACGAAATTACTCGTCCTCACTAATTTTGGCATAAAACGTTGATTTCGGGTCACTAATGAACTAATCAGTCTTATCTTAGATTTTTTAAACGTGTTATCAAAAGATATTATTCAAGTAGAACAAAAATTATAAAAGTCAAAGTAACATGAAAATGTAGTTATCTTTAAAGAATCAAAGTGACATCATTTCATATCTTTAATTAAACAGTAATTTAACTTTTTCGTGACTGCATCATGACATTTCAATGTTTTCCGCTGAAAAAACATAAATGGCTTTGTGTATTAAAAATAATGCAGATTCCTGTTTTTTCACCGCATATCGATTTGTAATACTAGCAGAAACATGCATGAAATTATTACTAAATATGTAAATATAAAATTTATTAATGTAAAAAGTTACGTCCTTAAAATGACACGATTGGAAATATTGGTTTTTAAATTATTTTATGAATCTGTTCAATTGATAACAAGTGTCATCTTATGGATATATAATACACAAGACAATTACGAAAGTGCTTTAAAACTTGTGATTTTTATCGAAATTCAAGAGGTTACATCTCAGCTTGGGAAGATCGTAAGATAATTCTTTTTAGAGTATTTTAAAAGATGAAGACTCGACTGTAAGATGAATAAAGTGATTTTGTTCTCCTCATCAAACTGTCTTTTTTGTGAAGATCAAAATCAGATTGTGGGAAAATCCTGCAAATTTCACGAATTTATAGTGTTCCACGAAAAAAGCAAGAATAGGTCGAATAATATCATGTAGGTTTTGAAGTAAAAAGAACTTTCTTCTTCGAATAGTGTAAGCAGTATTGTTCTACTATATTTATGAACAGATATTATTAGGTTTCATAATTATCCTTGCATCTTGCAAGATATTGGATAACACCACCAGAACTTGCGTCACCAGGTGTGCAAAGTTGTGAAATCATATAAAAACAGAATTAAAAACGAGTAAAAATTAACTTTTGAACTAGCTTGCAACCTTATAGACTTTAATACGGTAATACAGTTTACTTGAAAATGTGACATCTCAGCGAAAATCAAGTGGCTTAAGTCGCTTTGCTAGAAAATAATTCTCAACGATATGTATCTCAGTTAATAGATTTAATGTCAGTCGATCTTTTGTTGTTTCGATTGTATTGCTATTGCAATAGCTTACTGCGTTTTACCAACAAGGAAGAGGCCAAGATCGTAGATGTGTAACATCTATTTGGGAAGATCTCATGATATAGTTAACACAGCTTTGAGAACGTACAGCAAATGTTCATGACATCAGGGTTTAATTGTTTCCAAATCAATCCATAAGATAATATTCAGATGATCCCTAATCATCTAAAAGAAAGTGATCTGAGATCATGTAATCGAACCTGTGTGTCAATATTGGTGGCTACATATCGAGTTCCTATAAAATACACTAAAACTCACGTGGATTATATTCAAAAGCAGTGGAGTCTAATCTTTTTCATGGACCTATTTTTCTTGCTTCACTAATGATAGACGACTTCGTGTCTAGTGTAGACACAAAGAAAGATTCAATTATGCCTGTGTCTAATATAAGCTTTTGATGAATGTTCGATGATGGTTTAAGTAGAAATAATCACGATCTAACGCATAAACTTAAAAGATGAACAAACGTGATGATATCTCCTTCGAGGATAACAGCAGCTTAATACATAAATGAAATTTTTCGTTCACAAATTCTGACTTTTTAGAGAAGAGTAGGAGATTAATTTATCCTAATGCAAAATAACGCCTATCTCCATAAAGAAATGGATGGCTGATAAAGAAATTTTTGTAAGATTACGAAATCATTGTCTTCGACCATCATGCTATGATCTTGAATTTAGGCCCTATATAACATGTTTGGAACTTGGTAACTAAGAAATCGTCTAAGCCGATAATATTAACCGAACTGGAAAGTGTCTTACAGGAAATCTAATAGAAAATCCCCTAACTTGATATCAACAGATGCATCAATATGATGAATAGACTAGATGAAGTAATTCACTGAAGAGGTAACAATATTTTAATTTAAATTAATAGTGCATACGCATCCACGTCCATATGCCTATCCCTCTGCCACACACACACACACACACACGCGTGCGGGCGTATGAATGTATGTGTACAGGCATGTGCGTACATAGGTAAATAAATATACAGGGTGCATACGAATTTGTGTTACAACTTTTTACCACACGATTTAGTATTACCAACGGCATTATAGTATGATTGAGTTGTATATAGATATTGCACATATCGTGTCATTATGGTCAAGTTCAGATGATTAACTCTTCGCCTGTTTGAGCTAAGATTCTAGTATGAAAAAGTATAAATATTTAACGTGGTAATGCATTATGAAAATATGAAAATGGTTACGAAAATTACGCCTGTAGCGGGCAAATTTTTAAGACTCATAACATAACGTTATTTTTTACTATATTTTTACTACATTATTGGACGAAAATCCAGCACAATCCATTTCAAAACTTGCCAAAACATTAAATGTTGATCATACAACAGTTACTAAACGGTTACATAATATGGGAAAGATTCACAAAGAAGGAAAATGGGTTCCACATCAATTGTCGGAAAATGCCATTGCGAATCGGTTGAACATTTGCATTTCGTTAATTTGCATTTCGCCAGACAAAAATGAAGAATTTTTTGTATCTAATTGTTACTGAGGTTGAAAAATGGATCTATTTTGATAATCCCGAAAATAAAACGAAAAAAATCATGGATTGACCCAGGCCAACTAGCAACATCCACTTCGAAGCACAATATTCACGATTCAAAGATTTACTATATATTTGGTGGGCTCAAGATATTGTGTACTATGAACTATTAAATTCGAATGAAACTGTCACCACTGATCGTTATCGACAGTGGTCGATAACGTTAACAATTATACGAATTGAAGACAGCATTGGATAAAAAACGATCACTAATTGCGAGTAAACAATTTATAAACATTTTTAGTTTGATTATTTTTAATTAAAGATTTATACTTATATTGTACCATACTTATATTACATAAAATACACATACACATATGTGTACAAGATGTCCCATTACTGACTTTGTGATTGATGTGTTTACTGCTTGATCACTATTTTTCTTAAATGAAAACTCCAATTTTTTATTGTATCATCTTCTTCTACCAATTAATTTTAACAACTTTTGTTTAAAACATTTTTTTATTTGCCTAATATTTTTTTAGATATTTAAGGAAAACTTGATAACTTTTTCAATATTTAATTTACAATATCTTGCTATTTGTCAAAAGAAAAAATAGTACTAGACGCTTTTACTTTATTTGATCTCAAGAATATATTGTTACAATAGTGCCCTAACATTTGTTAACTTATCGACCTTTGGAAATTTGAAAATTGAACCAATTTGAAAACCAAATTAACAAAAATCAGAGTGCTATTATAACAATATATTCTTGAGATCAAATAAAGTAAAAATATTTAGTACTATTTTTTCTCCTGTCAAATAGCAAGATATCGTAAGTTAAATATTCAAAAGTTATCAAGTTTTTCTTAAATATCTCAAAAAATATTAGGCAAATAAAAAAATGTTTCAGACAAATATTGTTCAAATTAGCTAGTAGAAAAAGATGATATAATAAAAATTGGGGTTTCCATTTAAGAAAAGTAATGATCAGTGAATATCTCGAAAGTGGTGCTATCTGTAAACAAATTAATAGTTGTTTTATGTCCCCCTTGAAATGCAACTTTTATCTGAAACATTTTTCTGCATTTCCATATTTTTCCAGATATTTGCCTGAGCCATTCAAAATGGGACATCTTGTACACATATGTGTATGTGTATTTTATGTAATATAAGTATGGTATAATATAAGTATAAATCTTTAATTAAAAATAATCAAACTAAAAATGTTTATAAATATATTTAAATAACATATTATTGACTTCGTAATAAAAAAAAATTGTATATTAAAGAAAAAAAAACTGTATTTCTTCACAAACTGGCTCGTAATTCACTTCATTGTGATTCTGTAAATAATCTCCGATAAAAATTAAATACCAATACTCACGTTTTATCAATGTCTGCAGCATACTCTACTTGTATGATTAACTCAGCTATTTTACATCGTACATTATTATCAAAGTAGATTGCTGATAGAGCTCAAGTATGATCCTTCCAAGGGCTGTTTTTTGGAGAAATTCATAAATATACTGAAAATAAAAGGAAATCCTGTCAATCTGAACCATATTTTGTATTACGGTGTATCATATTATGTAGAGAAAATATTAAAGAAGTAAATTAAAAATTAATATTTTTCAGGGAATCTTGATCTTTTAACACTTCTAAATATTCCGTTGCGATTCCTTTAAATATAACCTTTTCGCGATAGTTATTTCTACCGCTAATATCTAGATGTCATATGATATTGTTAATAAAGATGGCTCTAATAGTTTTGAAAATTAACTTATAAAAGATGAAGTGGAAGATAAAACTACCAATATATCATCTGCAACTGTATCTACAATTCACTCCCTTTTTATATTCTTATTTTACTTAAAGATAAAAAAATTCAGAATTAGATTAAATAATATAAAGGCAAGACAAAATTTATCTATCTCAATTTTTCACCATTGACTGAATTTCTGTTCTAAAATCATTTTATACAAATCTCAAGAATAAACTTTATTTTCTTAAACTTTTTTCATCTTCAATTACACTGCTCAAAAGAATTATGGCATAGATAATTTATTGCCGAAAATTGGCCAACTTTGACTGGCGATTACTTCGCGAAAAATTATTGTAGACTAATGATTTTTTTTTTCAAAATAAAGTTTGAAGTCTCTACTGTAAGAATGTATCTTCATTTTTTGCATGCGATGCACTCCTACCTCTGTCACCCATGACATCTGAGGGCATGTTTAGTATATTGAAAATTGCAAAATTTGACGGAATGCACGGACGTGGACAATTTTTTTTCGGGGACGCCGTTTGCATCGTCATGAAGTTCAAATCTTCCCCTTCAATTTAAAAAAAAAATGGAGTCGCTACAATTTTTTTTCGCAAAGTTACAGTCGTTCAAAAATATCGTTGTTTTTTACCTTCGGGCCAAGTACCGGCCGGCGGATTAAATGACGAAATCATAGTGGAGCAATGGCAAAAGTGTTTGTCATAAGTGTTTGACATACGCACGCAAGCACGCGCGCATGTTTTTCAGCTCCTGGCTCGTGTTTTGACTACAACCAACATTCCTAGCATCGGCAAACAAACTCTCTCCGTATTTTCCACGACTCTGTACGATATTTTTGAAGGGCTGTAACTTTGCGAAAAAAAATTGTAGTGACTCCATTTTTTTCAAATTGAAGGGGAAATTTTGAACTTTATGACGATGCAAACGGCGTCCTCGAAAAAAAATTGTCCACATCCGTGCATTCCGTCAAACTTTGCAATTTTCAGTATACCAAACATGCCCTCAGATGTTAGGGGTTACAGGGGTAGGGGTGCATCGCATGCAAAAAATAGAGATACATTCTTAACGTAGAGATTTCAAGCTTCATTTTGAAAAAAAAAAAATCATTGGTCTACAATAATTTTTCGCGAAGTAATCGCCAGTCAAAGTTGGCCAATTTTCGGCAATAAATTATCTATGCCATAATTCTTTTGAGCATTGTAGTTGCTCACATTACTAACGATAAATAAAATTGTGTCAGAACTACTTATGAAATTGTTGCAAAGATTCATAATTTCTCTGTAAACATGGGTAAACATTCCATATTCTTTAGACATTCAATATATAAAACAATTATTTTTATTGAAACAGAGACCAAAATTTTAAAGAAAATGTTAAAGGAAAAATGAAGAAAGAAATCAAACGTATATGATAACTTTATGTGACAGCTATGACAACTTTATCAAATTATTAATTTGACATTGTTTAACATTTTTTAATATAGATATTATTTAATATTTTTATCTGTGATTATCTGCACACATATACATTATTCGCGTTTAAGAGTATGATTCAATCAACAAGGAATTTTCATTATTTTAATGTTAAAATAAAAGACCAGTATGTAAAACATCTTGACAACTGTACGCTTGCAGCTTTGATATTTCAATTTAAGATTTTCTGTTTCAAGAATCTACTAAATTAAAGTCAAATTGTGGCATATTGTACATGATATCGAACAATAGACATCTTCATGCGTGTATACGCAACTGAATTAATTATTTCTTATATCAGAGAGGCATCAATGGAAAGAAGACAGTATATACTATTAAGAATTCCTAAATTTCCAATTGTATATTCAGATACAACTTTTTGATTGTATACACTTTCAAATAATCTAATAAAATGTGACAATTTCATGCATTGCAACATAGTTTTGCAATGCTTATCTATAACGAAATTAAAATGAGGAAATTGAGATGATAAATTCCTTATATGCTATTGTTACACACACACACACACACACACACACACACACACGCACGCGCACGCACACACACCCACACACACCCACCCACACACCCACCCACACCCACACCCACACACACACGCACACGCACACGCACACACACACACACACACACACACACATACACACACACACACACAAACACACACGTTTGCATCTGTTTGTGCAGTAAGTCAGTGACATTAGAAAACATCCATAGTTTATTACGCATATAATTAGAAATGTATATGTGTGTGCTCAGTCAATCAGCATTTCACATTTTTAGCTGTGGGTATAGTAAGCTGCTTCTATTTTCTGACAACGTTGATTTGTGCAATATAATTCCGATATTGTGATATATAATTCCGATTAATGTAACTATATGGATAGATTAGCCTATCCATGGTAAATAATCTTTCAATCAAGTTGCCACAGATCATGCGCAATTACATTTATGTAGTTAATACACTAAAATAAATGAATTATATCAACTATATATATAACCATCACAGATAGATAATTAAAATAATGCAATTATGTTGTTTACACAATTAAATATATTTCATAACTTCTAGTTAATTAGACCATATCTTTTTTCCTCTAGAAAGATGTTATGTGCCATATGCATCTTCTAAAAACTTTTTGACAAAATCGTTAGACAAATATATTATATTCCCAAACTGTAATTTTTTCTAAAGCCCAAGAAGTTCACTATTTACCTTCCCATAATTCGATCTCAGATTTCAAATCAATACAGGCATTCAGATAAATAACAGATATATTCAAACCTATAACTGCTCGGAAATATTTAACTTAAATAAGTGTTATAAAACTTTGGACAACAGAAAACATAGCTCTTCGTCATTTTATAAACATTTATATGAATCATTCCAATGCAACATAAAGAATATTAAAGTCTAGTGTTAGCAGTTTTTGTTCAGTTTTCATACTGAAAGGATGAAGTTCTTGCCCAATGCTTCTCATAACATAGAAATAAACCTTTTTTCTGATGTCATTCACTTTTGGTTCTCTTTAATATCTCAACTTAATAATAAATATTATTATAGGATATCAATAATACACACATACCCATATATATATATATATATACACACACACACACACACACACATATACGCATATGTATGCATATACTAAAATACACACATAATATAAAACCGATAGTTAATATATTTCTGATCATATCAAATTTGACATTTAAGATTTATCATTCTCTTATTAGTAAAAGCAAAATGTAAATGTATATAGTAAAATATATAATATAAACTTTTTTGACAAAACTGAGTAAAAGTATTTCCACATTAACTGTCAATTTATTTTTATTTTCAGTTTCTTGATTCAAATTTACCAGCTATTTGAATATTTTGAAATCCTTTAATATTTATCCTTTAATATTTTTCCTTTATATTATCCTTTATATTATCCTTTAATATCCTTTAATATTTTTAAGTCACTGTTCAGTAATCAATCTATTAACAATTGTGCTGACAGATTGGCGACAGATTTGATCAGGAACTGTTGACAGATTCATAGAGATATTTGTCTGTATTCAGCTCTTGTTCTATCAAAAGAGTCTACGATAGAATTTAACAGCAAATTGACAGTAGAAAGCAAATAGATCTACAATGTGTTCCATTTAAATACATTGAAATGGCAGATCCTGCTTAGTTTCTGCATCAGTCTGTTATCATACTCTGTCACTAGATCATGTTATATTTCTGTTAGCAAACTGCTGATAGAGTCTGCAGCAGACATTGTATAAAATCTGCTTTTGTAAATTTGGCTGTCAGAATGTTTTATACTTCTAGCTTAATACAGTCAGTATAATAAATCTGCTTGTATTGAGTTCAGCTGTACTATACAATAATAAACAGCAATATTTATACTAGTCCTGTTATATAATCTCCCAAATAAACACATGTTAACAATGTTGGCAGCATGTATGCATTCAATATATATTTTATAATACCATTGAAGTGACATACCATGTTCATAATATGCTTGCTATAAGAAATATGTATTTATTATTCCATACTTTGCAACAAAATATCAGTTTATTTGTATTGCTGATTAATTGTGTCCCCTTGCTGATACAATTGTGGCATGTGCCATAATTTTCATGGCATCAAATTGCTTCTTTTAGATGCTACTTGCAACAATATTTCATATATAAAGAAATAACTTTATATAAGAAACAATGTTTCTTATATAAAAACGCATCTTTATGTACTTATGCTACTATTTTAATTGCCAAATTCAGTCTCTATGCAGACAATCTGCCAAAATTTGTCTATCTAGGCTGTTATTTCAAAGAACTTCCCGGACTGACACATATTGATTAGTTAGCATAAAACAAAATATATATGTCTCACTCTGACCTATTGTACCAGCATGCATTTGCTCAAATTTTTCATAAAACTATAAAAAGTGCTTTATTATGCTTAAGCTAGTGTAGTCCGTATAATTAATATATATTAGTAATATAATAATAATATACCATATAATAATATACATTGTTGCATTGCAATAAAAAACAATGCTTGCACTAGTTTTGCTACAATGAATGTTTTGATGTACAATTATATTCTTCTATTACAAAATAAATTCTTCAATTAGGTAAGATGGATGCTGTTCTGAAATTCATAAAAAAGTTACAAACAACCTTTCTGTTCACAACCATATATTTTTTTATTTAATGCAGTGAGTTTAGAAATAAAGGACAAAATTTAGGCTAGATAATTTCGAATTTAGACTATTTTCTATACGTAGTAGGACGAGTTTGTTGAATATGTCGATTAGTCATTAAATAAAGAATTTCTAGGTTACCTTGAAAGAATATAAAGGATTTTAAAATTTACTATCACTCCGACAGCTAATCAGCAAATTTGACAATATTTATTATACAACATAAAATAGCAGCCTTGCTCTATACCATATGTAATATATTTCTATTTATACATCTTCATCGATTGAACCAACATTCATACGAAATGTTCCAAAAAATTTGCAATCTCAAATTTCCCGCGCAGCCACGTATTGTACACGTTGTTCACAATCACACCATAGGGTCTAATTTGACACCGGTAATGTCGCATCTGTTTGTACTTTCGACGTACAAATATACTCACACCAATATGCCAAACAGGAGTCAATGACTGTGCATGATATCATCAAACATCGATCTATTATCTGCCATCACCTCCATGTTGATATTACATTTCAATTCACTAAGCAGCTGTGGGGCCTATAATGGTTCGACTCTTGGGTGGGGATCGATGTGCCACAATGGAATTTACACTAATCGAGCCATACTCCAATACTTGAAAAGTAACTCATCATATGGTTATTAAAAAGACGTACAAAATCGCGGTTCGAATATGCAGCGAAGTATCTCGCACATGACAGGTTTTTGGCACGTTACAGGACTTTGACACTACCGACACTTCTTCCTGTGACGACTCGATTGTGCCTTCTCGGATCCTTCTGAATCCATCTTGCTTTTGCGCATAGATTGATGTTCCTAATTGGATCTTATATTTAAGATCGTCTTGAATTTATCTTAAGATGCTGCATGTACCGTTTCATTGGCTACAAAGTACCTAAAGATAAATTTAAGACGATTTTAAATATAATACTTAACTAACTCTCGTTTTTACAAGCGTTAATTAAATCCATCTATGATTAAACCCAACGACACGCAGCAAAGTTGAGTTATTAAAATATTTTCTAGTTTTTATATTTTACGATAAAACATGTTGAATATATATATGTATAGATATATAATATCTGTCTATTGCTCTTTTTGCCAATGATGTTCAAAAATTTAATCACTAATACCATATAATTAAAGAAAGTTAACTTAAATATTAGTTTCTTCATTCAATATATGGCTCTAAGCAGAATTATTAAGGCCCATCTACAATGGCTGCAAGAATAAAGCGTCGTCTACAATGGCGGTAAGCAGTAAAAAGTAAGCGTAAACGGTAAGAAATAAACCAATCACAGTCGATTATGACAAAAATAATCAACTGTGGTTGGTCCATTTCTTACTGTTCACGCTTACTTCTTACTGCTTATTGCCATTGTAGCCGACGCTTACGGTTGTAAGCGTAAGCAGTACAGCGTGGTCTACAATGGCCGTAAGCAGTAAAGGTCATTCTACAATACGTGTCGTAAGTCGTAAGAACTGACCAATTATAGCCGATTATTTTTCTAATAATCGACTGTGATTCGCCAATTCTTACGACTTACAACTTACGACACGTATTATAGAATGACCTTAAGAAGAAAGTGAACAGTAAGAAATGGACCAACCACACAGTTGATTATTTTTGTCATAATCGACTGTGATTGGTTTATTTCTTACCGTTTACGCTTACTTCTTACTGCTTACTGCCATTGTAGACCACGCTTAAAATGACTGCAAGAATAAAGTTGTAAGCGTAAGCAGTAAGAAATGGACCAACCATAATCGATTATTCTTATAATAATCGATTGTGGTTGGTCTATTTCTTACTGCTTAAGCTAAGACTCCATGCATGCGGTGAACTGCGGCAAACGGTTGCGGTGACCAATCAGGAGGGAGGCGCAAGTCCGGTTGCGGCAAGCTCCGGCATGCGTCTGTCTCCTGATTGGTCACCGCAACCGTTTGCCGCAGCTCACCGCATGCATGGAGTCTTAGCTTTACACTTAGAACCTTATTCTTGCAGCCATTGTAGATAGACCTTTAGTTTCTATCAATTGGTCTGTTCTTTGCAGCTCCACTGTTGAACTGGTGCAATAAGTTAAAGTGAGATAAATATAGGTTTTCTCATTCTAGTTTATTGCACCAGTTCAGCAGTGCAGCTACAAAGAACAGACCAAATAAAGCCAGCGGCACACGGTGCTTGTTTTCGTGCTGGAATGCTTGCTGGTGAAAATACTGCGTTCTGATTAGTGCATTTCCATCCATCTTCGGAAATGTACCAATCAAAACGCAGTATTTTCATTCAAGCAATCTAGCACGAAAATAAGCACCGTGTGCCGCTGGCTTAATATAACCAGAGAGAAACCTGAGAGTGGCCGACACGGCATTTTCTGCGACACCGACTTTCCGCACTGGGAAAGGACGCCATCTGCATCCATTTTGAGAGGAGAACTACGATGCTACATCCACTTTCAGGTTTCGGTGGTAAAATCTGTATGTGGTGGAAGTTTGTGCTACATCCACTTTCAGGCGGTTTATGTCCGTGCTGCAACCACAGTTGCCATCTCTATGCCAGATTATACCCGGAGGTCTAAAAGAGCGCGAGGGGGGGAGGGGGGAGGAGCAGAAAAAATAAAAGTACGTATTAAATATTAAATCTTCGAATATATGTTGCCGTATCAAAGTCTTCTGTATAATAAACGATTTGACACGTCTGGAGACGCATGATGTATCGTTGCCCGCGTCCCGTTCCCTTCGTCCTGGGGCTGTATTCCGTACCTGCAAATCGACAGTTGTCAGTGTCATTAGCGGCATTGCGCAGGTTTTTCATATAACAAAAAAGCTGCGCAATACTGCTAACGACGCCGACAACTATCGGTATGCGAGTACGGAATACAGCCCCTGCTTCTCAATTTAGCATTCCGTCCGCTCCGGACATTCGCTCGTGGCACTGACAGTGGCCGTCGATGAGCATTCGATCCGCTCGGAGGAGTACGTGTTAATTAACACGACGAGACTTCGATTATAAATATCCCGCGAGTCGACGAAATATCTGAACTTTTAAAAAAAGCATCAAAGAAAATTACGTTAATGTTGTCATGGGTGAAATCTCACCCTAGTATATATTTTTTTATTTTCGAAATAAAAAAAGCCAAACGAATGTAACTAAATGTTATTTATCGTCATTAAATATTAGATGAAATGTAGAAGAATTATTGTCCGGAGCGGATAATCTCACATTTAATAAGAACGTGACAAAATTCGCATGAGATGAAATTCCACTCTTTAACGTTACCACCTTTAATTATTCTCTGAAAATGGCGTCACAACAACTTTGACACACTGTACAATTAGTTGCTAACACATTTTCTAATCGTACACATTCCTCTTTAATTAATATAAAGCTAACAAATGTCTGATGCTTCGACAGAATAATTTTCTTTATTTTCAGCAATCAATAAATAGTAAATCAATGTCGCGTACAGTTGAAAGGCCTCCTCGCATTCTTCTCGTCGTCCCGGAACCTTCGAGAAAAGAAAGAGAAAAGACGTCCAAGGGCAAAGTCTCTCTTGCTTCAACGGCGGGCTGCCGAGGCCCGCGATGTTTACATCGCGCCGATTGTGTTGATCGGCTCTCGAGCGACGACACTTTTTGCCCTTCGTATTATAATACTCGCGCACCTCGTGTATTCGATCTCATTCCATCAACAGCAGCCGTGCGCGACGCGCTCGTCACTTCCGTCTCGTGTAATTCAAAGAAATGTATCTCGTCGGTCCTCGAGATACTCAATCGGCATCGCGTCGACGTCGCGTTGATTGATTAACCGCACGGTTGAATCACGAGTATCGGCATTAGAAGCGTGAGTGAGTGAAATCCGGAGGACTCCAGTAGCCGGGAAGCAGGATGTCGGCAGCGATACGTCACGTTTCCAGGTATGTGGAATCATTTATTATGTGGGAGGTCTCTGATAACGAGAGCGGACGTTTTGCGAATTTTTCGGGAATAAGAAGTCGAAATTTCGCGCTCGGCATTCACAATCCGTCATTATCCGACTAATCCGAGTAATCATGACTTTATGAATTTGCAATTACTCTCGTCAATCTCTGTCTATCTATTTATTGCGTTGTTGTATACAAGAGATATTGATTCAGACAGAGACGGATAACGGTCCATGAACGCGGATCTCTAATTCATTATGTTCTCAATTAAACATTCTGAAGAATTCCGAATTGCATGAGTATACTGGTAGAATATTTAACGTCATATCGCTTCTTAGACTGCGACCTTTTTTGTTTTCGGTCAGCGCTTCTTTCAAGTCTGTTTACTCTCGTTACGGGATCTAAATTTAAATGTCCATTTGTAAAAGAGTATTTTCGAGAGCACACAACTGTTGTCTCCGCTTCTTGTTGTCATCTTTTTTCGTTAGCTCTTCTTCAAAAGCTCTAAGTCCTATCTAGACTTTCAATGTCAATAAAGAAAAAAAACCGTAGTGAATATTCTCCACTCATCCCGACCAAACATTCTTTCTTTACCGCAGCTTACCAACCAAGAATGCTAAATTTTTGTTCCAGACGTTGCGGGAAGCAAGTCCAGCGGACGCGGATGCCGCACCGGAGGATCCGGTTCGGGCACAGTAGGGTCAGCCGGAAGGTTTACCGGAAGGTAAAGTTTACAAGTTTCCTACATATCTGTGTTCAACTCTTTACAATCTTTGCCTTTGCAACTTGTTCCTCATCAGCTCTCTTGAAAGCTTCATGTCTCATTTAAATTTTCAATGTTGGAATAAAAATATAAAGATAAAAATCCCATATCAAAATATTTCCGTATTTTCGATTCGTCTCGATCAAAGATATTCTCTCTGTACCGCAGATTATCAACTGGGAAAATTACTTTTCTGTTTCAGTTGTTGCGGAAAGCAACAGCAGTCCGGCGGACGCGGATGCCGCACCGGAGGATCCGGTTCGGGCCAAGCAGAGTCGGCTTGAAGGTAAGTTTACAAGTTTACTATCTCTCTGTCCTCTGTTTGACTCTTGGCGATCTAGAGCTGGGATATAATTTCCGGCTCGACTTGAATTACGATCGCAGAGGATAAACTACTTTTACTCGCCTGCACTGGTTGGTCAAATCTAATGAGCGAATGTGAATTTTTTATTACAGAGTTGAAGCGGAACGAGGCCGGCTCTGACTGCAAGTCGTTTCGGTAAATAAATACAAAATGAAAAGAGAAATAAAATTCCGCATGACGGATGTGGGACTATGGGAGATAAAATATCGTTCGAGTCAATGCGAATTGCAAATAGATTCTTGCATGTGTGTGTTTATGACGTTGAATAAAATACATTGCTCGAAACAATCAGATTACTTGATCGATAGCCTGCATTACATACGAGATTTAAAATACCGAATGATTCTCTTTTGATGTTCAGTCATCTGAATAAAAGATATTCATATCTACAAACGCGATACTGTCATTAGTTGCTTTATTTTCATTTTTCAAGCGGGCCGCAGAATTATTTAACGATTTAATTATTTGACAATATTCAATTGTCCGTATAAAATATATTCATACGCATAAATGCCGAGATCGTTGGCTACTTTTCTTTTATTTCCAAAACAGGCTGTAGAATTATTTGGCAATATTGTCTATTCATTACGATCCCTATTGTCTCGAGTAGCGTATAATGCGCGCAGAAATTGCGCCAACGCACGCTGAGCTTGAGGTATCCTCGCTCGCGTGCCTTTGAATATCGCGACTGCGGTTATCAATATACGCGTTTTTACCCGCGCTGCGGGTAACAAAGAAAGCTTAAATTCTCAAGTATCGCCAAAGTGTCGCGAACATAAGCTTCGTCGTGACGGAACTATCACGCGTGAAAACTTTGCCCCGCTCTCTCTCTCTCTCTCTCTCTCTCTCTCTCTCTCTCTCTCTCTCTCTCTCTCTCTCTCTCTCTCTTTTTGCGCTCCCTCGAAGTGACCGGTTTCTAATTGTCTAATCTTTCCTCGCATGCATTCGCGAATATTCTCGTAGATGTCGATACTCCCACATTTTCGCGACTTTTCAGACATGATCGCGAAAAGCGCCGTAAAAATCCGTTGGACGAGTCAATAAATTTTTACACGGTTCTTGCTCCTCGCCGATCGAGTTTATAGAGTTCGTTTCGAAGCGCGTAAAAAGTTTTCACCGATGTCGACGTAAAACGTTCGTTAATTGACGCAAATATCGCCGCTCTAATACAAATATCGACCGCGTTGTGGAAATGTGGTGAAAGTGTAGCAATCAACGTGGGACGCGTTGCAAGACGGATGCTGCGCGACATGGAGAGCGGCAGCGCACATGGGCGCACATGGGACATTGGTGGATCTGGTTGAATGCAACAGGACATCATCAATATCATCATCGGTGAGTGTCTGATTCAATGCTCGCAAAGAGCTCTTTTATTATTACATTGTGCATGCCGCAAATTTGCATTGACTTTTGTAACGAAAAATATATTCCATGAATTATTGCCATATATTATGGCCATATATTATTGCCATATATTGTTGCCATATATTATTGCCACATATTGCCATATATTATCGTCATATATTATGGCCACTTGATATCGCGTGAACAATCGAGAAAACTGAATTTGCCGATAATTGCAAAAGCGCGCGGCAGACGTCACGGACAGATAACAGCAGTCCGTCTCAGGGCTGCTCGATAACAATGCTCTTGCTACAATTTAATTTAACTTTAAATCACAGCGGCCTCCGGAAACTTTTTATCGCAGACTAACCCTTCGAGCGGAATGTTCTCAAGAAGCGCTCTTGACATAAACGCTGGTTATAAGCAAACTTGCCTCGTTAAGGCCTCGTCGCGATATCGTTGTCGCGATAAGGAAGAAAGAAGTTAAACATCCGCACCGTTGTGAAAAGAGGCGCGATGGCGTCCGCGATCGCGAGTAGAATGTTAGGCCTTTGCGAACGCGAGCGTTAAATTCCACCGCGGCTAAACATCCCCCGACTAGTTTTTCCGCGGAAACTGAATCTTCATAACTCGCGCTTGATCGTGCGTTGAGACTCTCGATCGAGGGTGGGAGATTGAAGCGGGAGTTGATGATATATGCGTGACAAAGTAGTCGCGCATTTTATGATCGCCCTTTAAAATTGGGGCGCTTCTTTCGTCGGTGATAAAGACGAAAAGAAATCAGAGCCTGCTCTGCCGGTGAGGTCGTAAAAACCACATGGATTTTCCTTCCGCAGCTGCTCCCGCGGCTGTTTAATCTGCATTACAATCATTTTTGCGAATAAGTATGGGGAAAGTGACATCCGCGGATAACTTTTGTCCTCTGAACGATACGTTTCGTAAAGTTTTCCAGCTCTTTTACGCAAGTTCGTCGCCCGTGCTTGATAAAAAATGTTCCGAAACATGCCTACGAAAAATGTTGCACGTGGAGAATACTCAGCGTACGTACCATCTTGAAATGAAATACCGCGAAGGAACCTATTCTCGTTCCTCCAATTTGCGCTTTATAAGTTTCGGGATCCATGAAAATTTCAAGATCAGATACTGCTTGTTTGAGGGAGGTTTTTAGACATTCTCTGTAAGAACTTGAAGAGCGAGTATCGATTTTTTTCGAAAAATTCGAGATGCATATCCAAATGTGTTATTTATATGCATACGAGCGTGCGATTAGCTGAGGCTTTTTTTAGGCGCGAGTTTTGTCATTTCAAATCTCGCAAGAATCGTGTGAAGAAATCTTGAGCTAATTATACGCTCACGCGTGTAAAAACAACACACCTGAATTTGCAGCGACGACGTAGCGGAAATATTTAGCGGGTACTATCTTGAAATTTCCGATTAGATTATATTTCTCGTCAGCCGTCGTTCTGTCGCCTAGCCCTGTTTCTTTCGTCCGGGTGCCTCACCAGCTTACTTGTGTTTTACTTCGCCGGCAGCTTATCCTTCTTCTTCTTCTTCTTGCTGGCAACTATCATTAGATCATGTGGGCCGCTCTTGGTTCGAGCAACTTCGTTGCTTTTTCGATACTATCTCGACGCGTTATTGCGCATCGTAAAATGATATGGGAATTTTATATTTATCTTAATCCTTTCTATATCTTCGTGAATTCCTAGAAGCATGAAATTTGTGAAACACTCTGTACATATGTTTACGATTGCAATTTTAGTATTATTTCAACTTCGAATTATTAACTTAAGGAATGCTAACGTGTGTATATTTATAAAATAAAAATTATTCTAAATTTTCTCACGTCTCGTAATCCCAAAAGACATACACACATACATATTCGGCCTATTTTCTGTATTAATAGTCTTTGATATCTTCCGATACGTACATACATATTTTAAAACATTTTCTTTGGATATTGTATCAAACGGATTTTGCGTGTCACGTAATATCCTTCGGACTACACGGACATTATTATTTTGATCATTTTGATTTCTTTGATATTCATTAAGAATTATGCAGAACGCAACTGCCATGTTGAACGACTCAATTGTCGTGTGAAATGTTTCGATTTTCACAAATTCATATAAAATTTTTCATTTTCCACAGAAGTCTTTCACTTTTCATTAGTTCACGCTAGGGAAAAGATTCATGATCGCTGCCCAAAGCTAGCATTAATGCCTCATCTACAATAGAAGTCGTAAAGTCATAAAGTCTACAGCGTGGTCTACAATGACAGTAAGCAGTAAGAAGTAAGCGTAAGCGGTAAGAAATAAATCAATCACAGTTGACTATGACAAAAATAATCAACTGTAGTTGGTCCATTTCTTACTGTTCACGCTTATTTCTTACTGCTTATGGCCATTGTAGACCACGCTTACAGCTTTCGTTACAATCTACTACACTGGAAATACGTAGTTACAATCATGTCTTGTAACCTTACAGACATAGGGCCAGAGCACAGACTTCTGCATAACACATAATACACACGCAAAAGAAAATCAACCAATCAAAGTTCTTCATTTCTATCCTGAGGAGGGAAATGAAGAAAATTAATTGGTTTATTCTCTTATGCGTTGTGTATTATACGTTATGCAGAAGTCTGTGCTCTGGCCCATACTCTTACAGCTATTGTAGATGAGCCTTTATATTCCTATGAAATTGTAGAATAGATTTAAGAAGACTTTCTATCTACAAGTTGTACTAGTATCTTTAACGTAAATCATGATGTTCTTAACAATAAGCACGTGTTGTCGTTGTCTTGTAAATGATATTTAATGCATTCTTTTTAGATGCACTACTGCACTGACTTTTGTTGCTTGTAGAGTGGAAATACTGCGTCTTGATTAGTGCATTTCTAAAGATGGATAGCAATGCACTAATCAGAACGCAGTATTTCCATTCAGCTAGCAATTCAGCACGAAAACAAATATCGACTGCATTTCGACATTCACTGCCAGTACTGAAAAGTTAGTTTATTACGTATATTATAGATTTCCAGTATTGGCAATGAATAAAATGTTCAGTAATATTTAAAGAATATCATAAATTATATGCATTCAGCAGAACTTTTAAAAAATTTTAGAAATATTTTAAAAATATTTTTATAACGTTATAACATGTTATGCATTGTACAATGCATCTCCGATATTTCGTTTGCAATATTGCAGAAATATTCCAAACCCAATTCAATGACTTGATAACATTTGAATCTGTCAGTAACATCCCAGTAAGCAAAATGCTAGCAGAATGCGCGCAGATTGACGCCAATTTCGATCAGATCCCCACATCAAAACCATAGTCATCTGTCCTCATTAGGTTCGTGTTTTGTCGACAAGATCTGCGTGACAGGCCGTGCGAGCAGATTGTCGGCAGAAACCGCGCAGGTCCTGCTACCAAACTACTCGCAGAGTCTGCGCGCAGAGTTTGCTCGGTTTCTGCCGCCAATCTGCTATCAGATTACTGCAAGTCTTGCGCGGTTTTTGCTACAAATCTGCCGTTAAATATCCGACAGTAGGATCTGGCGCATATTTAACTGCAGATTGGTGGCATAATTTGATATAACAGATTCTGCGTTAAATTTGTTGCCTATTTGTTATCAAACTATGATAGCAGGCTTTACTCGAAATCTGCTTGCACAGATTTGGTTATCTGGGTATATTACATGCTTATAAAAATATTTACAAATGACATAATAGAATAGACATAATGTAGTTTCTTTATAGATTCTTTTATAAACATATTATACACATGTAAAATATTATACACACGCATATGCATACATGTATATATAGATAGATATATATTATATTATACATACACTTAGGAACATAAGTTTGGCTAATTCTCTTTCCTATTGTCACAAATATTTTATGAAAATCGCGAACAGTATTTATAACATTTACGGTTTTATATTCCTGATATATGTAAAAATATTATTACATAAGCTCATTTATAATCGAATATGGGATCAGATATGTACTAATAATACAAATATTATCTAGAGGCACATGTTATTCTTATCTTACTTTTATAAATCTTATAAAAGTTTGAATTTTTACAATGCACATTACTTATTATTATAGAATATATACTATGTATAGTGTGTATGTATATATACTATGTATGCGTGTATAACATACACACATATATACTTATACATACCTACACATGACACCTTGTTTCGTACACGCCCACGCTTACGCATATATCCTGTAGTAATTTATGGTATTATACATACGCAATTACTATTAACTATTTTAACTATTAACTGTAATATATTTGATCCCATTTTTAGCAACTGGAGAAAGAAATATACGAAAAGAAAAAAATTTATTTATTGATTTTCTTGCCAAACATACGTCAATGAGTATTCATAAAACAAAGAAACAATAGTAATAAAAAGAAAAACTTTCTAATTAAAACAGAAAAAAGATTCTGATTTTTAATCCGCATCTCTGGTCCACTTGAAAACCGCTAAGGCATCGTAAATATTTTCCGCTGCTGTATCTGTATTGTGCTCTTCTTTTAAGCAGAACATTTTAAGGTTCTCTTGCATGTAACACTCTAAGACATCCCAGTATTCAAAAAGCTTAAGAGAATTCTTTATTGGATCGACACATAAACTTTCCCCTGTTAAAACAAAAATTATATCATATTTCAATATAAAAATATTTTAATTTCTATTATATTAGCATTTACAATACAAAATTGAATATGTTGTTTTGTAACAATATTCAAATAGTTTTGTAACAAAATTATGATGTAAAAAATTGTAAAATACAACTAAAAAATTTATTTTCAACTGTTTATTTTCAAACTATTATTAATCTACATTAAAATAACTAAATATATTAATTGTTTAGTTTCAAACAGTTATTAATCTACGTTAAAATAACTAAATATACAAGGTGTCCCATAATTGTAACACGCCAACTTCATAGGGGCGTAAAGTTAAACGAGAGGAATAAAAAAGTCCTTTTCTATTTAGCGATATCTCGTATAGTTTGTTAGTAATAACCGCGTAAAAAGTTTGGCGTTTGTCACGCCCATCGCGGCCTATAGATGCTCCGCGCGAGTTGTATGCGTCGAGGTTGAGTGGTAACGCGGCTCGCGCTGGCCGTCGCGCGACGTCAAAGCGCCGAGACGCCACACAGTGGGGCGAAAGATCCGAAAACCGGACATTCGAACCAAAAATTAAATTTGTGAAAATATCTAGTTTTGGCATGTTTTCTTGTTCTTCATATTCCTCCTATAATCTATTAAAAAATATGTTTCAGTTATCAAATATGATTGAAATTCCTACTGAAAATATTTAGCGAAGTTCACACTTGGTGCAACTAGTGAGAGTCGCTTTTTACGCGGCCACCGTTTCGACACATATTGAAAATATTAGAGAATTGTCACATTAAAACTATAAAAGAGCAATAACTGAAACTTTTACAACATAAAAAGTAATATTCAAACTTGATATTAAGATTGTTGTCATATTAAAAAAATATCTAGATATACATAACAAATATATTTAAAATAATGGAATTCATACAATCGGGATTCAATACTTCAAGCTACCAAAAAGTTTACGGTCCAAAACGGTCCAAAATATGCAATATACCAATTAATTGCGGAAAGTGTCTAGTTTATAAAAACCTCTATTGTTCTTCCCCCCAAATTCCCCTTTTATTAAAAAATTGCATTAAAGTTATAATAACATGGTTATAATAACATGGTAAAGCGTTATAACAGAGTTTGCATTATAACAGAATTCGAAATTATTCTATCAAACAATCTTATATCAAACAAATTTAACTGAAAGATAGATGAGTATCTAAACTAACGATATTTTTTAATATATAGAACGTTCCACAAATGCCAAACAAAATTGTTCTATACATATTTAATGAATATATACTATATATTATATAATTGGATGTATTACTACGGATATCTCAAAAGCGACACCATCTGTAAACAAAATGATATAGCTGTTATATGTTCTCTTTGAAATAATATAACTTTTGTCTGAAACATTTTTCCGTATTTCCATATTTTTCGAGATATTTGCAGATTTCGAGGTATGCCTGGAGCATTTAAAATGGGATACTCTATATTTTTTGTTTTAATAGAATACATTATTTTTATAGAATTTGATCTCTGTGATGTACCATAAATACATCCAATTATAATATATAAAAATATACAGTATATATTCATGAAATATATATAGAACATTGTACAGAACAATTTTCTTTGTTTCGCATTTGTGCAACATCCTATATATTAAAAAATATCGTTAGTTTAGATACTCATCAATCTTTCACTTAGATTTGTTTGATATAAGATTGTTTGATATGTAGAATAATTTCGAATTTTGTTATAATGCAAACTCTGTTGTAACGCTTTACTATGTTATTATAACTTTTAACGCAATTTTTTAATAAAAGGGGAACAATAGAGGTTTTTACAAACTAGACACTTTCCGCAATCAATTGGTATATTGCATATTTTGAACCGTTTTGGACCGTAAACTTTTTGATAGCTTGCTTGAAGTATTGAATCCCGATTGTATGAATTTCATTATTTTAAATATATTTGTTATGCATATCTAGATATTTTTTTAATATGACGATAATCTTAATATCAAGTTTGAATATTACTTTTTATGCTGTAAAAGTTTCAGATATTGCTCTTTTATAGTTTTAATGTGACAATTTCCTAACGCAATATGTGTCGAAACGGTGGACCCTCATTAGTTGCACCAAATGTAAACTTCGCTAAATATTTTCAGTAGGAATTTCAATCATATTTGATAACTGAAACATATTTTTAAATAGATTGAATTATGAAGGACAAGAAAACATGCCAAAACTAAATATTTTTACAAATTTAATTTTTGGCTCGATGTCCGGTTTTCGGGCCTTTCGCCCCACTGTGCGCCATCACAACGGTCAGCTTGAGACGCGTTATCGCTCAGTCTCGCAGATCTACGTCTCGTCACATGCCGCCAATAGTTGCTGGATCGACTGGGCCGCGCTGTAACCCGAGAGGCTACGACACTTCTCCAATCATTTATTTTAGCGCACGCTCATTCGTCAGATTTCTGTAATTAATAACTCGATAATTATTGCGAATCTCGCAAAACGGTATGGGACTTTTATGTTTGTCTTAACCCAATCTACCTTCACACTTTGGGTTGGCAACTAATTACCGGACACCCTGTATATTTTAATATAAATTGACTGGAGAAAACCGAAAATTGCTTTTCCAACCATCATATCGGACTACATTTTGGATTTTGGAATTCTGATCTCAAATTCGTGATCAACGACTCAAAAAATACAAATTTATTTACTTGTATACTTGAAGACAATTTTGCCAAAAAAGAAAAAACTTTCTCGTTCTTTGGGAGGATTAAGAGAAATTCTTAGATTATATCTTTAGGGGGATTAAGAAAAATTATTAAATTATTTAATTAAAATTACTGAGTTTTTATTACATTGTACTCACCATAATTTATTGTACCATGGTCTAAACTTGTTTGGATTTCGCTCAACACTTCTCGAACTAAATCTCGCTCACAAAGTGAATGACCAACTAACTTTCTTAAATTAAAGGCACTGCATGTGTACGTATCGATCAATGGCCGTAATATCATATGTAGGAATTCCATCTGCGCGAAGTGTTTCGGCGTTAAATCCAGCTAGAAGCGAAATGAAATGTATAAATGTGAAATATGACCGCATTATCATAAATACGAAATTATAAAATGACATACAATTGTGATGACATATATTATGATTGATATGTATTAATTTTTTTTATACAGAAAATATTAATACAAAACATTTTGTATAATAATAATTTGTACATTAACCTATTAAGGCTCATCCTTAGATCAATAGAGATATGAAAAAAATAACTATTGGGTTTTTGGCATAGGTCCTAGCAATGATTATTGGTGTTTCAAATTAGTTGAAAAAAAAATGTTTTTAAACAAATTGTAAACAAATTAAGAAAAATTAATTTTCCCGTAAAACTAACCACGCCAATCGATTCTACAGGAAAAATCACTAAAGAAACATGTGTTACGTTTTCGATTTTCATTTGTTGTTAAAAAATTATAATCTCTATATGGATATACTCGTTCCAGCCTATGCCTAGATCAGAAGAGATATAAAAAAAATAATTACTAGGTTTCTGGCATGGGTCTTAACAATGATTGTCGGTGCTTCAAATTGGTTGAAAAAAAATTTTAATAACCAATAATCATTGCTAGGATCCATGTCAGAAACCCAATAATTACTTTTTTCATATCTTTACTGGTCTAAGCATGGGCTGGTGCGAGTACATCCATATAGAGATTTTTTGTAATTTTTTAACAACAAATGAAGCGGAAAATCGAAAGTGTAACACATTTTTTTAGTGATTTTTCCCATAGAATCGATTGGCGTGGTTAGTTTTTCGGAAAAATTAATTTTTCTTAATTTGTTTACAATAATTTGTTTAAAAAATTTTTTTTCAACCAATTTAAAGCACCAATAATCATTGCTATAACTTATGCCAGAAACCCAATAGTTACTTTTTTCATATCTCTACTCGTCTAAGGATGGGCCTTAATGGGTTAAAGCTTCTGGATGCTTGTTGCGGCCATATTAGATAGTGACATCATTTTGCGTACGACGTTCAAATAAAAAGATATTATGAAAATATAGTTCGCTAGAGCGTACTTGCAGAATGTTTTGAATGCATTTCTCCCTTGATAATCAATTAACTATAAAATGACTAATATGAGACGTAGTCATACATCTTATGCGACGTTGATTGATTTTCAAGAGAGAAGCATATGCTTAGAGTGTTTCATAAATATATTCTAAGATCTGAAGTATTTTTTCATATAAATATCTTTTTATTTGAAAACGCAAAATTTTAGGCATGCGTTTCGTCATATCTAATATTGTCAATCAAAAATTCTACGGCAAGAAATCAAGAACTCTGTTAATTACTATCCGATAAAACTTTACTTTTTTTGCCTTATAAAAGCAAGTAGTCATGTCCAACATGTTTTTGACAGGTACACATGTATGTGTTGTTCGATTTTGATTATTAAACACAATTAAAAAAAAAGTAGAATAAAATAGACTAAAAACAGCAACTCTGAAGAATTTTATAATGTCGTTGCAGCAGCAATTATTTTTTTTTAATTTTATTAATTCCCAGCAAGTATGAATTTCAAACTTTAAAATATGTTTTTTCGTTTTAGTATGTTTTTTTTTCATCTTGAAAATATAGTTGTTCGAAATTTTTTTTCCATATAGTAAATTAAAGATATTTTATTCTATATCAATACTATATTACTATATCAATTAGTTTTATTTTATTAGAATTTTGATTTAGTTTTATTAGATTAATTATAAAAAGATATTTTATCCCATATTAATATAATATTATTATATTATAATTAGTTGAAAAGTAAATTATTTTTGCATTTATATAATATAATCAGAAAATATTAAATCTAGGAGCGATATGAAATTAAAAAAAAAAATAATATACAAAATGCCGAGACATGGCGCCGTTATACAGCAGTATATGACACAGATGTATATACAGAGTGTCCCATAATTGTAACACACCAACTCCATAGGGGCGTAGAGCTAAACGAGAGGAAAAAGTCCTCTTCCATTTAGCGATATCTCGTATAGTTTTTTAGTAATAACCGCGTAAAGTTTAGCGTTTGTCATGCCTATCGCGGTCTATAAACGTTCCGCGGCGAGCTGTGTGCGTCGAGGCTGAGCGGTAACGCGGCTCGCGCTGGCCGTCACGTAGCGTTAAAGCGCTGAGACACCATCGCGACAGTCAGCTCGAAACGCGAAATGGAATTATCGCTAAATGGAATAGGACTTTTTCGTTCCTCTCGTTTACCTCTACGCCTCTATGGAGTTGGTGTTACAATTATGGGACACCTTATATATAAATATGTATGTGAAACCAATAATTATTCTTTTATTTAATATTTGGGTTATTATATTGTATGAAATTAGTAGGAAATATTGTTTAGATTGCGAGTATACGTGCAGAATGCTTTGAATGCACTGTTTCTGTTGAATATATCTATTAAAATTAGTATAAAGTATGAAATTGTATGAAATATTGTGATGAAATAAAATGCTTTTTCAATTTATTACTTTTTTCTCGTTACTACAACAACATAAAATCTCTTAAAGTCGTCATTTCGGATTCATTTTACTATTTTTTTTTTTTCAAAATTACGACGTGATAACCAGATTAACAGATTCGTATTCGTAGTAGCCAATAATACATTTAAAGTAATTTAGTAGGACAAGATAATGTCGGATAGTGTTGTTAGTTAATATCAGTTTTGTATTAATGGTAATGTAATATTTTTTCTTTTCTATATTTTTACATGCAAATTAAATTGGTGTTAAAAAAGAGAGACTTTGGATTAAAATTACTTTATATTTGATTTTCGAAACTTCTATTTGTTTTTGTATTATTTCTTCTCTTCTGTCATATTCTTCGTCCGAACTGTCTGCCAAAATTCCTAAACGTCTTTTCGTATTGCTCTGTACACTTCGATCATTTAGATAGTCTTCCTATATGAAAAGAGTTACTCTTTTTATATATATATATATATATTTAGGCGTGAGATACTTGGCTTGTTGAAATGTCATACTCGAGGCATGATATGTATATATGGCAAGTCTTCTATTGTTTTGATAACTACGTCTATCAATATTTTGCAAGGTTTGCAGAAAATAAACTCATATCTCAGAATGTCGCATAATTTGAGTGCTTGGTTGACCAAATTATCTTGATATAGTGTAATATTGTTTTCAGCAATGGCTACCGGATCGTTAATTTGAGACTGCAACTCAGCATACAAAGCAGTTACTGAAAAAAATAACAAAATATATTATAAAACTACAATAAAATACATTGATTTGTCGGTTGCGTCTTACTTATTATGCTCTCTTTAATGTAATGTGCTAACATAGCGTTACTGTAATAAGAGAGCTCGATTATGTTCGGCAGAATCGATACAGGACGGATTGTAGTAACAATGACGGATTCACCGTCGACATCGGTAATCTCCTGTTGCTGTTGCGTTACTAAATCAGGACCTAAGATATCCAGCTGCAAATTATGAATATTAACGGATTCGTATTTCTTCAACAAATCCTTTATTTCTTTATCTATTCTCTACTAATTACTTACTGCATGTTTAATTATATTAACGCTCTCTCCACAAAACACTATATCTTTATAGTACTGAAACTTCTTTCGAATTGAATCAAACGCTTCGACTAATTTGTCTAATGTACAACCATTTCTAAACCTATTTAAAAGTAAAAATGCAACAACGTTGGTCGACATAATCGGCGTGGATTTAGACGAATCTGAAAATTATTACAACGGGCATCAGATTATTAAATTTTTTAACAATTAAAGAAGAAAACAACTTTATATAGAAAATATTATATAGGAAAGAAAATCTTTATATAGGAAAGAAAATCTACAATTGTCAAATCTTTGTATGTGAATTAGAAAGTAACACGTAATCTGTCAAAGAATCTGGTTTTGTAAGACGAGTGAGTGAAGTTTTTCGAACCCTATTTTCACCCTATTTCTCGAAAATCATATTTTTTTAAATTATGCAAATTTTGTGTCACATTGTTCCAAAACGATATTATTTTATTTTAAACGCAGAAAACGAAAAAGAAAAACCTTTTCTTGATCAGCACCTTTTTTCAAAAATCAAACATTTTATTATCGCTATAACTTGTGCTAGTTGTTCCAAATATTGTTTCAAAACGACAATTCTGTAAGTCGAACCAGAAGCCGGAAATTGAAAAAAAATAGAAAAACGTTTTTATGAAATTGGCCCTCGAATCAAAAGTGAATATTCTGATGAAGAAACATCCCCAGGACGTCCTCAAGACGTACTCTGGACATCCTCTGGACATCTGTGCTATTAGGGGTCATACTCTATATTGGATAGGATTGGAAGGAAATAACATACTATGCATTTTTCAAACGAAACAACAATTCTAAACAACATTGTTTTTCAAACAACAAAACCATCAATTCTGATAAATACTATCTGCTATTAAATCAGCTGAAGATAACGATTGACAAAAAACATTTAGGATTTGGCAAATCATTAAGATATTGTTTCTCACTATACAATGCACATATGTTTCCTAATATTATATTTTCAAGCTATCACATTTCAAAACAGTTTGAACAGTAAAGAATTTAAATCTTTGAAAGTTGTCAAAATTCACTTCTATAACTTCTTTAATGAAAAATCGATTCAATTTTATAATTAAACAATGAATGCAACAATGAAGCTACTTGGAAGATGATTTAATATTATTCAGAAAAATGATATATACATTTGTGTGCAAAGTAGTATAACTGATTAAAATTATATCTTAATATATCATTTTTGAGTTTTAATCGATATAAAAAAATTTGAATAAACTTTTTGACAAACTTAATATTTATAATGCTATCTTTTCAACTTACAAAATATTAACTCGACATCATGGTTAAAGAAGAATAATAATTTTCATACTAATAACTTTAATATAGTTAATGTTAAATAATTTTATTATGTGAACTAACCGTACACAACGTGTCTGGCAATTCTATCTACTAATTGACGATGCTCTTCCACAACGACGTCCGTACCATAAATGGACGAACTCGACCTGGAGGATTTTAAAGATCGTTCTGGCCAAAGTTTTGCGGTTTTGTTTTGTTGAGCTTGGAAAGACTTTATCATTTCCTATCAAAGATTAAAATCTTTCATATTATTTATTTTTAGATATCGCGAATTTTATTAAATATAAAAAAATATTTTCTTTACCCTGAGTGAAAATGGTTGACAGAAATTAATCTTGACGATACCATAATGACCTCTTAAAGTCGACCACATAGCTTTAATCGTTGATGCGAAAGTCTCCATTTTTTTTGGTTGTCCTAATTGTTCTCGAACAAAATTACCATCTACTAATCGTTCATAATTCATCGCTACAGGTATCAATAATGCGTCTTCGATAGTACCATCCATGTATGCGTCAATAATAACGCTCAAGATACCACTCTTTGGCATACAAGGTTTGCCAGTTCGTGTACGGCCACCTTCCACGAAAAATTCCAAGTTGTGTCCGGCCCGTAAACTCTCCATTATGTATGTTTGAAGAACTGTGCGGTAGAGAACATCTTTACGTCCTACTACGGCGTCCATACGACGCTTGATAAAAAAAGCTCCTAGGCCTCTCAAAAGCCATCTGTTATTCATGCGTAAAAAAAATCATTAAATTTCTCCTATTCTTAAACTTTGCCGAACTAGTGGGAAAATCTCCCCCACTTTGAAGTTAGCTATAGCGCGGGCGGTTGACAAAATGTTAAGAAAAGCAACGAAACTGTTCCAAAACAAAATATTCAACTTCATTAGAAATAAAACTTATCATACTAAATTATATTTGCAACATCCAGCCAAGTACGTTGTGAAGTCCCATTAAAATATCTCATTAAAGAACTATGTACATAAAAATATATAGGATGGGTCAAATTATATTTCATAGGTTGTTAGATTTTTCAGATAGAAATGCAGGGGAAGGGGCAGAGCCCCTCATCCGCGCATATATGTATTCTTTACCATTTTTAATGTATACCGTATGTTTTTACACGGTTTTACAATATTTATATTTTTTTTGTTAATATTTTTTTAATAAACAATGAATGACGACTACAACTTTTTGAAGTTTACTCAGGAAGGTGACTTCTATGATAAATTTCAAAATCAAGATCATCTGAGGTGGGCCGCTAAACAGCATTTTTACTATATTTTTTAATTAATATTCTAATAATAAATGTTTGCATAACGGGTTTTTTATTTTGTGCGACAAATGAATTTTATTTATACAAAAGCAAACATGTATGTCAAGCCTATACATAACTTATAAACTATGCAGACATTCCGACTCCTCCTCCCTCCCTCTCTCCCTCTCCCCCTTCTCTCTCGATAGTTTTAAATTATATTACTTATATCATAAATGATAGATAACTCACCCAAAAAACGGAATCTTCAAGTTGTCTCCAGCCGCTATTAATGGGTTTCTCATATTATTTACGACCATAATGAAGCTGATCATTATGTAATCCAAGTGACTGCGATGCAAAGGTAAAAATATAAGCGGTAAACCAGTATCATTCGCCTTTTTTAATACTTCTATTTGAGAAGGTGTTACGATAGCTGACTGTATGAAACTAGGAAGCAACTTGTATAGCAGCCATGCAACTATCTTAAGTAGAATATCACTGCATCGGCTTTCCATTTGTAGTAATATGTTTTTGGTCTTGTTTTTTGCCATTGTGACCTCTTTCTCATTACAATTCTCGTTATTAGTTATCTCACAAGTAGTTAGATTGATAACCTCTTTCAATCTTTCGTTATTCAATACCTATGATGCGATAATAAATTTAATAATGTTAATTATCTCCATGTAAAATTTGATATTATTTGGTGGAATAAAAACTTACTGTTTGGGTGACCATTGGATAATCGAAACTTTTAAAATTAGAAACTTGTGATACATAATTGAATACTTTTGAGAAAAATGTAGGACCTCGTTTCACCATTAATATGTTCAAATCGAATCGCTGCTGCTGTTGTTTTATGCTATTTATTAAAGAGTTCTAAACAGAAAAAATGTTAATATATATATATATATATATATATCGTATAAAGATACATAAAACCAATAAAAAAAATAAAACAATATATATTATAAAACAAACCATCTAAAATATACAGGTTTTCGAAAAAAAATAGGACCCCCTTACTATCTCCAGAAATATGCACTTTCATGAAAAATGACCTGAATAAAACTTATAGGGATCATGAAGTACTATCTTTTGGTGACTCTGAAATTGACCTTAAACTTGACCTTGAGGGTCATTTGAAGGTCAACTCGAAATTTTCAAATGGAAACCCCAATTTTTTATTACACTGTCTTCTTCTATCAATTAATTTGAACAACTTTTGTCTAAAACATTTTTTTATTTGCCTAATATTTTTTGAGATATTTAAGGAAAACTTGATAACTTTTTTCAATATTTAACTTAACGATATCTCGCTAACTATTTAAACTTATATAATTAAAAAACTAGATTTTTTGCTCTATTTAGTCTCAAGAATATTGTTATAATAATGCCCTGACTTTTGTTAATTTACTGACTTTTGGAAATTTCAGAATCATCAAAATAATAAAAGTTAGGGCGCCACTGTAATAATATATTCTTGAGACCAAATAGAGTAAAAAAAGTCTAGTACCATTTTTTCTTCCGACAAACAGCGAGATATCGTAAGTTAAATATTGAGAAAGTTACCGCGTTTTTCTTAATCTTTAGAGAACGGAGTAGCTCCTATAGGAGCCACATATAAATCGGCATTCAGTGTTTTCTTAAAGGTTATATTATAGTTATTTATGCATTTATGTCGATGTTTATGTGCTCTAAAAATATATTTGCATATGTGTTCGCGTGATTTTTACCTTACTTGTAAATAAACATTTATTAACAAGTACACATTTTAACTGCATAGTAATTTGCATCTCAGTACGTTTTTATTTATAATAGACCCACCTTCTCTTAGAATTATATAAAATCAGCACACAACACTATTAGAGTTTCGATTGTGCACAGTGCGTGATAACAATCACTCTAAAAGTAACAAATAAGTATAAAAATACAGAAAAATAGTTTTCGAAATAAAATAATTTTCATTATTTTTTAAAACCAAAATTTAAAAAATTATAAAAAAATAAAATTTTTAAATAACAAAAAATATAAAAAAAATAAAGGAGCTACATAACTTTCTACGTCCACGTCGTTAGCTCTGGGTTATACTAAAGGAAAGTTTTATTACCGCATGAGATTACTTATATAGACTTATTTTAGGTAAATAATTGCTTTTCTTTGTAAAATTTCGGTAATCTGATATCAAAATAACGATCAGCGATATAAGAAAAAACCCCCTAAAAATGCCAATTTCAAAGATTTAAATTTGGAAAACTTATTTTGACCGTTTCGTTCCGGACCGGGGTGGCTCCTATAGGAGCTACTAACAAACTCGAAAACTCTATGCAACATGATAGTTACATATATATATATATAAATTTTCCGCGAAAAAAATTGCAAATTTTGAAGGAAAAATGCCGATCCTCTAAAGGTTAAATATCTCAAAAAATATTAAGCAAATAAAAAAATGTTTCGGACAAAAGTTGTTCAAATTAATTAGTAGAAAAAGAAGATATGATAAAAAATTCGAGTTTCCATTTAAGAAAAGTAATGATCAGTGAATATCTCGAAAGTGGCACCATCTACAAACAAAATGATATAGATGTTATACTTTGAAACCATACAACTTTTGTTTAAACATTTGTGAAACATTTTTCCCTAAAATGTCGCGTTTACAAAACAATCGAATGTGATCGTGTATATTATTTAGCAAAATTTTGCATAAAAAGAGAACACCTACAACTATTAGATCGAAAATATTTCTAAATCGAAAATCTAAACTCTTTTCAGCTAATTTAGCCAAAACATGAGTTTGCAACAGCTTCACAGTTTACACAAGGTTTCCCGGGCCATTCGATCACTGGATGATAAATCCTCGGATTTGAACATGTTTCCCGGGGTTTAGAGAAAAACTAACGATGATCGTGTTCAGCAAGTCAAAAATCCTATAGAAATGATGTGTTTTGTTCATTCTCCATGGGTCAATCCCGATGGGCCAAAATCAGTACTTTTTACCCATTTTGACATAGACGATAAGATACTAACGCGCGCCTTAGTCTCCGCGGTTACCGCGCTTCACGCTTATTGATTCCAAATTATTACACTTAACATGTAGCTGTTTTTTTAATTCCAAATTTCTCGCAAACGAAGGCCCATGCACGCAAACCCTTTTAGGGTTTTTATGTACTCAACTCCCCCCCCCCTCATTCGAATGAAATATGACTCATTCAATTATCAATTTTATGTCTTGCCATCTCCTTGTGAGTTATAGAGTATCCTATACAGGATGTCCGGTAATTGGCTGCCAACCCGAAGTGTGAAGGTAAATTGGGTTAAGCAAACATAAAAGTTGCATACCGTTTTGTGAGATTCGCAATAATTATTGAGTTATTAATTACAGAAATCTGACGAATGAGCGCGCGCTGAGATGGATGATTGGAGAAGCGTCGTAGCCTCTCGGATTACAGCGCGATCCAGTCGACCCAGCAACTGTTGGCGGCGTGCGGCGAGATAAAACAACGAATAGCGGCACGTTGTCCTTCCCCTCGCCGCACACCGGCAACAGTTTCTGAATCGATTGGGCTGCACTGTGGCCTGAGCAGCTGCAACGCTTCTCCAATCATCTATGTTGGCGCACTCCCACTCCTCAGATTTATATCATTAATAAATCAATAATTATTGCGAATCTCGCAAAACGGTATGGGACTTTTATGTTTGTCTTAACCCAATCTACCTTCACACTTCGGGTTGGCAGCTAATTACCGGACACCATGTATAAGTACAATATATAATTATCCATGTATAATTATCGAGTTATTACAGGAATCTGACAAGTGAGAGCGCGCCGAGATGGTATTGGACGAATTTTGCAATCGCTCAGGCCACAGCGCGCCCCAGTCGATCAAGCAACTGTTGCCGCATAGCAGCAAAATAAGACTATAAGACTAGTACATAGCAAAAAAGCGATGTATTGTCCTTCTCATCGCTGCGTGTCGGCAAGAATTGCTAGATCGACTGGACCGCGCTGTGGCTCGAGTAGCTGCAATGTTTCTCTAATCATCCATTTCGGCGCGCACTCACTTCTCAGATTTCTGTAATTAATAACTCGAAAACTCAGTAATTTTTAAAGTATTTTAATATTTAACTTACGATATTCCGCTATTTGTCGGAAGAAAAAATGGTACTAGACTTTTTTATTCTATCTCAAAATACATTATTGAATAGTGTATTAACTTTTGTTAACTTATCGATTTTTGGAAATTTCAAAATCATCAAATTAACAAAAGTCAGGGCGTTGTTGTAACAACATATTCTTGAGACCAAATAGAGTAAAAAAGTACCATTTTCTCCTCCGACAAACAGTTAACAGATATCGAAATATTGTTAAATATTGAAAAAGTTACCGAGTTTTCCTTAAATACCTCAAAAAATATTAGGCAAATAAAAAAATATTTCAGAGAAATGTTGTTAAAAATAATTGGCAGAAAAGGATCATATAATAAAAAATTGGGGTTTCCATTTAACCCTTATGTCAATACTTAAAATATACAACGTTGTTCTATACTAAGGATACTCAGCTGCCCACCTACTGAATTCCTTAAATAAATGTTCTGTATAATGAGAGCATTTTTTCCTTAACATTATACTCGACAATTACAAGTCAAAAATAGGAAAGAAAAACTTTTATACGCCTTAAGGGGTTTACCTAGTGTGACCACATGAAAATGAGGGCGATTTTCGAGGATTAAAAAAAAAAAACTATTCTACCATATATTTTAAAAGTTTGAGGCTATATTAAGTAACATTTGAAGAAGTTATAAAAATTTTATTACGAAAAAATATCGACATGTATTGGAAATATTAGTAATTTCTCGGAGGTAAAAAAAAAAGTAGCCCAATTGCTGCAGCGATAAGTGACGTCAGAGTGCCTGAAATAAAAAAAGACAAAAAGGCGTTAAACGAAATAAGTTTTCTTATACAGTGAACTAGGATTATGAAAAAATATTGAAAATTAAAAAAATTACGGTGTTGTAAAAGAAAAAGTTCGAATTTAGCAAAAAATGTGCCCGTTTTTTGCGTGGCAAATTGACATTTGTTGACGGATTGAAAAAATCCTAGTTTACTGTATGACAAAACATGTACTGAGTATGCCAAATTTGAAGTTGATTCATTAATTTGTTCGCGAGTTATGACTGCAGCAAATTTCGAAAACGTTGTTTCGAGAAAAACGCGTTTCAAGTTTTAACTATTGATTTTTTTGTTATAAAAGAAAATTTATCATACTTACAGCTATTCAGCTATTCCAGGTCCATATAATTCGCCTTCCTCTTGTTCGAAAAATTGTTGCTGGGCCGCTGCAGCTGTCCTGCGAGCTGTCCGAGCCTCCTTTGAAGCCTCGCGGTGCTGTTTTTCTGCTACCTTCATGTCTCGTTTTTCTGCATAATCTTTGGCAGAGGGCCCAATAATCACTCCCATTGTTTCAAATGCTTTCAAAAAAGCTTGGAAACCTTCATTAAAAATTGCAACAGCAAAGAAATTGGCCAGTTCTATTGTTTTTAAACCACTGTGAAGGTGTTTAGGAGCAAAGTGCCACAACAAACCATTATAACTTTCGTTATTATTTTGTGTATTATTACCCTTGCACCTGTTTAATAATTTAGGCCTACTTAAATCACTATAAATTGGCTCTAGAACTTCTTGAATCTGTAGGTCCAGAGGGAGATAGTCATGTTTAAATTTCACCATGTCGTACTGGTGTACTCGGTCGACTGCTCCAGCGTGTGTCGATTTCCCTGGAACTTTCTTTTCTTATTGGTACTTCTACGCGTTAGAGTATCGTGTGTGCCTTTTTGAACACTAGATTGACTTTTCCCACTCATTTTGAATGAAATTCGCGC